ATAAAAATAGCTGCGTCAACGCAAGTGAAACATAAGTGGAACCACCTATTGGTGTGACACTCAAGTCAACTTGCCAAGTTTTTATGTCAGTGTTGGTGGTTTGACCAATCAACCGACAACTGCGGTAGCAGAAATTTGGGAAGCTAACCTGAAATGCCATCAGAAAACGAATTATCAACCACTTTCAATACCGATCTTCTGAGTATTTTCTTATATTATGACAATCATATTTCAGACGATCATTTTCGATATGTCAAAAGTCAAATTGGAAGTTCACATTGGTTCAATTTCACATGAATAGCCTCCAAAACAGATATATCCAGAACGAAAAAATTAAACAAAAACATAATTTCTGAATTCCAACTTAAAACTGACTAGTATTATTCTCAGAAACATTATCTTTGAATGAATGTATACAATGCATACATGAAAAGTTTCCCTTCGTTCGTTCGAACGGGGCAAGATTCGACAAAAGACTAAATTTTTGTGAATATTCGATATTATTCACGAAACTCACTTTTCTATCGGGCATGGAGATAGAAATAGGATGATGAAAGAGCTCAAACTGAAATACAAAAATGTTACTAAAGAGTTTGTGGCGTTGTATTTGGCTTTGTGTGAACCATGTCAAAAAAAATTAAGTGTTCCAAAAAAGGGGCTAGTGGTTAAGCCTATAAAAAACAGTGAATTTAACTCAAGATGCAAAGTCGACTTAATCGACATGCAAACACAAGCAGACAATGATCATGGTGTATCAAGACCACCTCAGCAAGTTTGTGATTCTAAGACCATTAAAAACAAAACGAGCCGAAGGAGTCGCATATCATTTGCTGGATATCTTCACAATATTTGGAGCTTCTTGCCTTTTGCACAGTGATAATGGCAGGAAATTCGTAAATAAAGTTATTGTCGAACTATGCCAAATGTGGGAAGAACCCAAAATTGTACACGGCAAACCCCGTCATAGCCAATCTCAAGGTTCAGTAGGAAGAGCAAATCAGGATATAGAAAAGGTGGTATTTACATGGTTGAAAACAAATGAAACTACAAAATAATCGGAAGGGTTAAGATTCGTACAGTTCATAAAAGCAACAGCTTTCACAAGTAATAATAATTTAGGTAGAACCATGTTTAATGCAAAATCCAAACGGAATAGAATAAAAAAATCAGGTATATATCGAATAGAGTGTGGCAAATGCTCTGCAGTATATACAGGCCAAACCGGTAGAAATTTTGACCATAGTCTGCGTGAACACGTCTGTTTGGACAAAAAATCTGCAATGTACGAACATCTTCAAAAATAATTCCACAAGATGAATTAATATAACCTCAAAATCCCACACATATGTAATAAAGGAAGGAAAATGAATTTGTTGAAGGCCATGGAAATTAACAAATCAATTAAAAACCAGAAACATATACCCCAAAACGAGCAACTCGATTCATATAGGTCTCCTCTCTTGAATTTATGAGTTTAACAACCCCTAGAATTTTCAGCGTGGAATTTCAAAAGTTGGCATCTTGGTTCTCCCAACTACCTGTCTCTCAAATACCTGTCCTTGCAGCATATCTGAAAAGTCTAATATAATCGATATTTCAAACTTCAGATATCAGTTTTATACTTGATAATGGGATCAAACCCGAAACTGGTCACATAAATAAAATCTACCAGTGGTATTTAGACAAAAGTGTTTTTAATTAATTTCATTAAAGTGATCATGAATTATCATAAAGTGAACAAGTCATCATCACATATATAAGCAATGTTTTAGCTCCTCAAGAGATGACCTAGGTCTGATGCAATATATAAAAACCATAGACATCTGTGGAAAATTAAACAAAATGTATGAAAAACAGTTATAACCAACGCAAATGCAAATATTAACTATTGTGAAACAAGGCGATCCATTTTTGAAAGCACTATTGAATATTTCAATAAAACCTGTGTGGCCATGATCTGCTGGTTTTAATGCCTGGCTTTTCGTTTACTACTGCGGTAGACATTATTAAAGGCGATGAGGTTACGGTCAAAGTAGATGGATAGATTTTTATTCAGGTCGATATCAGTATTACAAAGTTAATAAAAATACATATTAAGTAAACGATATAGTTGTAGAATATTCTATTTCTAGNAATCACATAATAATGTCAAACCTCAATCGTAATTATAAATATTCATGATTTTTATCGAAATTTTTTTTATATCGGATCCTGCAAACCAGTACCGCTTGATTTTTTTTTCTGGAACTAAATTATTTTCCACCTATTCGCGAGTGAGTGGATTGAAATTTCAACTAATGAACCCAAGTTTTCGGAAAGTTTTCCGCGAATAATTCAAAATGTATGTATTGTTGTATGTATGTATGTATGTTGATTGTTCTCATGATTTTGATGAATAACAAAGTTTTTTTTTCGAAAAATAAGAATTCGTTGACATTACTAGTACTATTACCATCAATCAACATTTTTTTATAATCATTTATTCTGTTGTAGGAGAATTTTCCATATGATAATCACCGCACTCAGATAAAAATTATGCAACAATGAATAAACAAGAATTGTCATTGATGTTACTTGTCATGAGCAGTTGATGTTAGACCGAAACTGGAGTTTACTTCAACAATTTGGACAGAATAATACAAAACTCCTTCAAAAGAATTCGAAAAGGTTCAAAACAAATTTCTTTGATATCTTTACTTTGAAAAATATCATAAATGGCCTGATTACAATTCAATACGAATATCTCGATTAGGAAACGAATTCAAAATATCATCACTGAATTGAAGATGAAATTTGCCCTTATATTCATATATAAAATAATCAATAATCATTTTGATTCCCCTGAAATCATAGGCTTGATTCCTTTTCATGTTCCTTCGCGCCTCATTCGACATACGACATGTTTTATATGTATATCTATTGATATGAAATGTATTTTAAAATCAGGGTTGAAATGAAAAAGTGAACTTCTTACATGTAGCTTACCAAATATTACATTACATATTAAAAATGCAATTTATTGCCTGCGACTTCGTTCGCGTCGTCATTTCATAGGTCCTTCCAAATTTTCTAATACCAAGAATTTATTATTGATTTTCATAGTTTTTTTGCAAATAAATGAATTAATAAATATCGTCAATTTTCAAATTTCATCTACTGTTTTCATAACATGCATTTTAGAATAATATTTTTAATTTCATTGGAAATTTTTAATTCGTAGAAAGTCAACATGATATCAATGACAAATCAACAGAATTGACAACTCAGAAAAATGAAAAAAACATGTGTTCCAAATGAAATGTCCATCCTAAATGGTTTATTGGCCTTTTTGTACGATTTGAACTTTAATTTTTCAACGTCAGAGAACTACATTTTGTCATATGGTAAAACTAGGTTTTCGAGTTATGCAACACACATGTAATGTATGCAATACATTTGTAATGTTTTATTCCCAGTTAATTATTTTAAATATTTCCTTGTATGAGAGGTGGAACTTATATTAGGCAATCTTCAATATTTTGAAAAACTTCAGCACAGCATGTAATAATTGTGCATCTTGGTCAATTGAACATATCTTACAGTATTGAATTAACGATGAATGAGGAAGGAAACCGTTCTGATGTTATATCTCCGATATCTTGAAAATTTGGGACACCCACTAATGAGTATTTTACCTGTATTGATACTGTTGAATTCCAATGTTTCGTTCATCTTCAAATATCCCAGCTCAGTTGATGAAATTTATGAAAAGAATACAAAACGAAAATATCAAAATTTGGGAAGACAATATATATTTTTGCGCAGTATTGATTCACAGTAGAACCACCAATTTTGGACATTACACGGCATACCACAGATATCCGTAAAGCAGGATATGGCACGAATAAAACGAAGGGTGTCCTCAATTTCTCCAATTATTGAATTGAGTCTAGAGATGTACGTTTTCTCTGATGGAGAGAGAAAATTCTGCATGAGAATAATTTTTAGTTTTTGAAGGGTAGAACATTGAGACAGCATAACAAATAAAATAATAGAAACACCCATCACTTTTGAATTTAATGAAAACATATAAAATTTGTTCTACACTTATCTACAATGTTTTGCCACAACTGGTGAAGTGCCTGAAACAAAAATCAAAATATCAAATATAATCATCATGAAGCTACGTATTTCTAATTATGTTCCAATACTTCAAATCAACTGCATAGATTGGTGACAAATATTGTTTTTCGAATTGAATCTGTTACCACATATCTATTATTCTGGGGCTTTTCCTCTTCCACAATCTAAAAACTAATCCGAATTTATGCAGCAACTGAAAAGATGAACTGAGAATTTGCATTTTCTCTACCTTTATGAAGTTTTCAACAAAAATGACTTTTTTCAATGCATAAAATGTGGAAAAACTTCACACGAAACGATAACGATATTTACCACGATTCCTCTTTGGAATACGTGTTGGCGAAATAATCTTCTCGGAAACATTATTACACTAAAAACACCTGAAATGAGTAACCAAAACAATTTACTTCACACGGTTCCCCTCAGTACATCAGGGAGGAGATATTATGAACTGAAGTGCCTCTATGAACTGAATTTCACCTAATTTCTCTGATGAGTTTTGAGATTTGGTCAACTTCATTATAATTCCATTCTTTCTAGAGTTTTTCAATGGATGTACGAGTAAATGGCTGTGAATGGATAAAACTAGTTTTGAACTAGGTTACTATAGAAACGGCAAATTACGAAATATACTTCAATAAAAAACATCGATAATACCAATTTGTATTCGACCTTGTCCAGTGAAATGTGTACGCTGAATTAATGATAACTGGAGTGTTATTAGTTTCCAAAATCGACAAATAAAAATATTGAATAATATACAGCGCTAGAGCCAAAATCGACATGGTGCTTATTTTTAAATGGAGTATCAACAGAGTTCAATACAGGAATAAGCTGTTTTAAACTAACATTAATGAAACTTGCAGATCACCTAAGCGGTGACTTATTCGAATGTATCTTGTTACTGTGTACGACAGCCCTATCATAGACACGAATTTGAATACTTGGTTTATACAGGGTGTTATTGAATGAGTGTGACAAATTTCAGGTGGTGATTCTGCATGAAAAAATAATCTTTTTAAGAAACGGGGTGTTGAAGTTTGTCTTGACTGACTATTTATGGAAGGCTCTGAAATCAGTCAACATATGCAAATGGAATTTGATGGGTGTTAAGAGGTAGTTATTGCGCATGTGTTGACATACAATTAATAATTTTAGGAGCATCATTGGCGCGCATACGAGTGAAAATTTCAATATTGATATAGAAAAACATGGGTCGCCACTGATATATTTCAACCGAAAAATAATTTTTGAATTCCTTGTTAAATTTGTGAAAAACAATCCCTTTCGTCTTTTTTTCCTATGGGGCGCCGGTTTTATGCACACTTCAAAGCGTATTTTCCATAACTTCAATATTCCATCAAGAACTATCTAATGACAGAAAAATGGCAGAAAATATTACTAATGAATAAATAGATGCAAAATTACAACAAATGTTCAAAATGACATCCCTCTCGTGCGATACAACATTCAACTCTTCATTGATTATTGTAGGTATTCACGCAAATATTCTCGGTGTGTTTCTTATTGTCGCATAACCGGCTATCATTATATTACTTAGGTCTTCTACATTTTCGATGGCAGTGGAATAGACTGATGGAGAACTTGAGAGAACTACAAATCCAAAAATCTATGGGATTCAAATCCGGTGATCGAGCAAGTCAATGTTAGGTACCACACACCCACATGAAAAAATCACTTCTTCATCTTAGATAAAGATTAAATTTCTATTCCCGTTCTACCTATTTCAATAATTTTAGAATTTAATTTAAGTAAATGAATTTGATTCAATGTTATTTCTTCTCAAAAATTCGAGTCCCAGTCTTGAACAAATAATTATATGAAAACATTTCTTTGGGGTAGTTTCAGTTTTGTTTTAAATATATGCATGACTTGAATCAATCTTAGCATAACATTCATTCAAATTTTATTTGTCCCTTATAGCAGATACATTATACTCGATCCAATATTTTTTTATTTATTTTAGGAATAAGCTGTTTTAAACTAACATTAATGAAACTTACATATCACCTAAGCGGTGACTTAAAATATAGCATTTATGAAACAAATACTTCATTTCAAATTTCAAATTCCTGATTACATTCGTTCAGAAAATAAGAGGAAAGGGGACAGATTGAAAAAAGTACTGTAATAGGACAAAATATAATCTAATCTTTCCACAAAAAAAAATACATCATTATAATAAACATTAGTACTCGTGTGAAAATCGTTAAAATTATTCTTGATATAAACATAAATATTTCGTAAAATATAATTTTCTCTCATGAAGAATATTAATTTCTTTCACTCAATAGCAATTCTTAAATGAAGTAATGAACAACTCTTATGTTAATAATGATTCGTGTAGTATCAAGAAAGATATACTTCTTACTGAAAACTATACTTGATATGAAAATATTCGAATATTTGAAAAAACAAACATTAATACTTCATTTTACAAAATACAAATCATGAAATTATAAAACAACAACAAAAATTAATTGGTGCTCCGGATCGACTTCATTGATTCCAGTGATGCATTTGCTTTTTTAGCTGCAGGAAAACCCGGAAAAACCTGCAGCACTACATCATCTGCAGATCTTGATCTGCCAATGTCCTCCCTCATAGAACAAAATGTAGGGTGTCTTCAGAGGCTCCAATAAATCCAATACATCGCCAGAACACTTCTACACAAATCTATTTTGAATTGAAGAAAAAACACTTCTTATGCTAATAATAATAATAATAATAATTGATGTTCAAACAAAAAGAAAGCAATAAAGTTTTAACTCTTAGAATGAGTATGAAACTAATCAAATTCCAAGTATATAGAAAGCGTTAATACAAAGTTAACTATTTTTGCGGAATGAAAAGATGATGATATACTTGAAATAACACGATTCATCTTCAAGCTTTTTTTCCGTGTACGATTTGGATACACTGTATCTGGATGATTATACACATTTACGCTAAAATGGGCTAATGCACAATAATGCATTGACCAGAAGTGTCATCTCAGCTGTAGCAGATTTTTTCAAAAAGAACAAGTACCTCTTTCTGTTGGAATTTAGGTACTTGGCCCTTATGGGAAGAAATATGGATCAACTAAATACTCATCAAGTTCCCCAAGTCCTATATTTATCGAAAACTGATGCTGAAAAGGAATCTCAAAGCTTCCACGTGGATTTTTATCAGGCCAGGGATGATTTTTATGTGAATTTCATACACACTGTAGTCCAAAATCAGCCTCGTCAATGAACAAAACGCTATTTGAAAAATTATAATTTGAGCGATTTTATGAAGAATTCATAGGTACAAAACTAGGCGAGGCAATATTTGGTAACGAAATTATAATGTCCGAACAAGGAGTACAGCAGGGAGATCCACTTGGACCACTATTGTTCTGTCTTTCTATTCATCATATTATAACTAAAATATCCACTGAATTCAACGGCTGGTATCTGGATGATGGTTCAATTGGTGACAAAGCAAATGTGGTATTAGACAATTTTCGTTACACAATAAGTCATTCGAAAGACCTGGGACTTGAACTAAATTTCGAGAAATGTGAACTCATTTTTCTGGATAAACAGGACCCTAACATCATCGATCAATTTAACCTAATAGCTCCTGGTATACGAGTGATTGAAAAACCCAATTGGTTTCTTCTTGGTGCCCCATTATCTGATGATGCCTTAAAATTTTGTTTGGAAGAAAAATTACAATCACTTCGTGTCATGTCAGGACGTTTATCTATTTTACCAACACATGTCGCATTCCATTTATTGAAGAATTCATTAGCCATTCCAAAATTATCGTATATTTTGAGGTGCAGCCCTACTTGGNTGGTACGAAGGTTAATAATAATAATAATAATAATAATAAATGCTTTTATTGAAAGGTTACTCAGTACAAGGGATACTAATCTAACCTAACAAATGGCAGAATTCAACGTCTGCGCATGACGAATCAAGGCAGAAATTGCTCTTCCATCCAACCAGTGAATGTGAATCGTCACGCTTGCCGCCCATTTCAATTACTTACTTAAATGCATGACAATTCCGCATTTATATAATTTTTCATTATTTTCTATTAAAGAAAATCTAATTTCTCATCAACGAAAATGTTATACCGCACTGAAAACTTAAAAATGAAGAAACGCCAGTTCGACATTAAATTGAAGTGTTTTTATTCATCAAAATATCAACAGTAGCCTTCCAGCGTTACTGCTAGATAATTTGCTGAAGAAATAAAAAATAAGTGTTAAGATGATTTATTTGACGTAATAGTTTTTCTTTTCAAAATATTGAGGTCATTATCCGTATGCGCGATGCAACAAATGCACAATAAAAACCTCTCAACACCTATGAAATTTCATTTGGATATCTCCACTGGTTCCAGAGCAATTTGAGTACATAACCGGCCAGTTTCTAAGACACATTTCAACACACATCACTCCTGAATTTTGTTACACTTATTCACACCCTTCATAAGACTTTCCCTGAAGTATGAAGAAATCAAGTCAAAATGGTTATTCAGAAAGTGAAACTTTTTCTCGATAATATTTCAAGGGGATTTATACGGAATTTTCAGTATATGTATTATAACTCATTCAACAACCACAAGACAATAAACATTCACTTCATATCAAGTGAACTGAGAGAACAACGGGGGTTTTTGCAATCTACCTCGATGAACATAAACGAATTTTCCCATATCCCTTCGAACTCGTTTATAGAAATACTCACAACTTTATTTCCCAAAAACTAGGAGTTCATCACGATTTTCCTCATGTCGTCACAATAGTCCTTCCTCTCTGTTTCGTAGTCCCCAATCGACAGCTCCACCAAACGATCTCCCAATTTATGCTGGAGGGGATTAAATGTTTTATAGTCCACTTTGCTCGATAATTCCATTTTGGGTTTATTGTTGCGAGGGTGACACTGTTTTGTTTTTATACCGGTGTTTGAAGAGAACCGCAAACGATGTAAACCTCATCAAGGGAAACAAGTATTTTCATTGCTGCGATCGTCATCTGTTGCAACGCAAAATGTATTTTATGGTATCTATTATTGAGCGGATTTTATGGATAACTTCCTCCTGAAATTTAAAAGAGGCTTTAGTGAAACTGAATTTTTCAATACGGCTTGATTTGGTACATAGCTTATAATACAGGGCGTTCCAACGCCAACATTTTATTGAGGAAATCAACAAAATTAATATCACTGGCAACACATTCAACGAATAAAGTATTCAACATGACTTCCATCTAGTTCCATACAATAATACAGTCTATTTTCGAAAGCGCTCCTTACATTATTGAAGTGTTTGGAGTCAGAAATCGGCATTCCTGAACAATTCTCCGTCGCAGGTCTTCCAGATTTTTAAATTTTTTTCAATTAGTAGTAGACGTTTTGAAATGGACGCCACTTAGTTTTTTCTGCACTGGTAGTTTTTGATGTCGCAGAACATAAGTAAATAGTTGGCCACTGTCACTCCTTCACGAATTATTATTCAGCCATCCTTGTTCACTGCGTTCCAACATAGTTAATTCTACTGAGGAAAGAATAAAAATTGTTGCAACCCATTATCGAAATAATGAATGTGTTAAAGTTGCTGCAAGAAATAATAATACGAATCATCTAGACCACAAAGTGAGCTATCAATACGTTAAACACTTAATGGATACGTTTCGAACTTCAGGTTCTGTTCACAAAAGAAACTATGACGTCCTGTCACAAACGACGGAGTTGAAGTTGCAGTTTTAGAACATGTACAAATGGATAATCTACAATCTACCAGACAAGTAGCTAAAGCGTCTGGTATATCAGCTACTATTGTTTTTTGGATTTTGAAAGACTAAAAATTCCATCCTTTCAAAATAAGGCTAGTTCAGGAATTAAACGAAGACGATCCTGATCATTGACTTCAGTTTTGTGAGGTGTTCAGCGAGAAGTTGACTAATAACCCAAACCTATTATACAATACCTATTTTTCAGGCGAAAGTTCTTTCATGTTCAATGGTGAAGTGAATAGAAATAATTTTCGTTACTATAGCGATGTGAATTCTTATTTGGTGATAGAAACACATTCACAAACTCCACAAAAATTGAATGTCTGGGTCGGCATTCTTGATAATCATATTGTTGGACCATTCTTCATTGGAAGTAATGTTAATGAATACACTTGAATCTATTACAAGACTGTGTAGATCCTATGATTACATAAATTTTAGAAAATGATGGAAATTGAGTAGACAATGAAATAACATTCCAGCAGGATGGTGCACCTATGGTTTTTGATGTTCGGGTGGGACAGTTTTTCATCAACGTTTTCCAATGCATTGGATCGACAGAAGGGGTCCAGTGGAGCGGCCAGCCAAATCATCTGGTCTCGCACCGATGGACTTCATTTTGTAGGGAAACCTGAAATTGAAAGTGTACTCGATTGAGCCTACAAATCTGAAAGACCTGCGACAGAGAATTGTTCGGGAATGCCGATTGCTGACTCCGGCAGACAGAAGGGGTCCAGTGGAGCGGCCAGCCAAATCATCTGGTCTCGCACCGATGGACTTCATTTTGTAGGGAAACCTGAAATTGAAAGTGTACTCGATTAGACCTACAAATCTGAAAGACTTGCGACAGAGAATTGTTCGGGAATGCCGATTGCTGACTCCGGACATCTTGAATAATGTACGGAACGCTTTCGAGAGTAGACTGTATTATTTTATGGAACTAGATGGAGGTCATTTCGAACAATTTATCCGTTGACTTTGTTTCCCCTGATATTATTTGTTGTTGATTTCCTCATTGAAATGAACGACAGCGAATTTTCTGTTTTTTCTTGAACAAAACATTCAACATTTTATTTCTCTCTAACAATAAACATTACAGAGCTAATATAAGAACAAAAGACCTTTCGGACGATGTATCACTCAATCACCCATGCCATTGAAAAAAATAGGGGGGTAGTTGCTGACCCCAGGGGGTTGAAATATTTTCATATCAGAATTACTCCCTGGAGAATTAAAAATTGACCTACTTTTTGAAATTCTTGATTACATGTCTGTTTCTGACTTACAAAGGAGGTTGGGTTTTCATTGTAACGCCGTGTATATTGTAATTACGTTAAAAATGCATTTCGAATTGAAAATCTAGTGAAAATATCAGTGAACAGGACTGAGTAATAACCAAAAATAATAATGAAAGTGAAATACTTTTTTTTGTATAGAAAGTTTCCATATTCTTCAATGTCGAAGTAGAAGTATTGGCAACATATTTCAACATAGTTTTGAATTGACAAAGGCTTGGCAGTAGGAGATTTTGAAGATTTCATCATAGTTGAGCGTGAACTATGTTTCTATAACCCTAGAAATCTTTTCAATTTCTGATATCAAGAATTTTCATCAACTAGGCTGTTGACCTACAATGAAATTTTTCACGAAGTTCAAAATGTTTGTTTTCTTTCCCAACTTTTTAAACAAGGTGTTTGCGGAGATCCCCTCAAGCACTTTATGTAATACATACATAGCTTACTCATTTGTTCGCTGGCGTACTAAATTTATAGAATAATACTCCAGTAATGTCTATATTTTCTCTTCATACAATAATTGATGAATTTGAAAATTATAACAAACTCTATTGAATACTTCAGGAACTTCAAAAGAGTTCATACATAGGGCCTACCAAACATTCTAATGAAATAGCATCAATATCCTTCTTTACTCTTTCATTCTATCTTTGTTGAATACTGATTGCAAATTGAAAACAACCACGTTTTCCAATCATGGGAAGTGTAGTGCTATTTCAGACATGCGTTACATCAACTGAGTTGATGACTTAGGGAAACACTCGTCGAGAAAAAGGAAGGGTATTGCATTTTAAAAATATGGGAGTTGTATAGATAATTCCTAGTGGTTCGAAAGTTACAATGAAAAAAGTTCCATACAATATATCATTTTCATCATAGAACATCTCCAGCAAACATTTCTGAAACAACTTTTCAGAGTGGAATAACTTGAAGACGAATTGGTGGATTTTTCGGTAATCGAAGAGAAGAGATTTTTCAATGACAATTTATTCAGTGAATCTCATTTTGAAAACTGTTATTGAATATGAAACAATCATGAAAATCATCGAGAATTTCTACAGAAGAATATTATTTGGAAAAGTTTACATCGTCAGCTAGGTTAATTAGGGATCAATAGCTGTCGCCTCCAAAAATCTCGCGTGCCGGCAGTAGCGCAAAAATCCCAGTACCGAAAACCGAACTAGGTTTGTTAATGCTCCCAACAGCTGCAAACTTGGGATGAATGAAAACAAAGAACTTCACAATCAGAGAATTAGGGATAAACTGCTTGCCAATCCCAACGGGTCTAGATCTTTCCTGTGGTTAGCTGAAACTGTTAATCAGAACTCCACAAAATCCACAATTCACCATTTTGAAAACTGTTCTTGAATATGAAACAATCATGTAAATCATCGAGAATTTCTACAGAAAAATATTATTTGGAAAAGTTTACATCGTCAGCTAGGTTAATTAGGGATCAATAGCTGTCGCCTCCAAAAATCCCAGTACTGAAAACCGAACTAGGTTTGTTATTGCTCCCAACAGCTGCAAATGAAAAATGAAAACAAAGAACTTCACAATCAGATAATTAGGGATAAACTGCTTGCCAATCCCAACGGGTCTAGATCTTTCCTGTGGTTAGCTGAAACTGTTAATCAGAACTCCACAAAATCCACAATTCAACCACTAATACAAGTGGATGGTTCAATTGCAACAACAGCCATAAAAAAAGCAAATCTATTAGCTGAACAATTCGCGTTCCACTCCACAGTGGATTTTCTGGGAAAGGAACCACCCACTCATCCCACACTAGAATTAACAATGCCGGAAATTACTTTTCGACAACGTCTTGTCAGGCGAATTTTGAAACAGCTCAATATCAACAAGGCGTCTGGCCCTGATGAAGTTCCCGTCATCGTACTTAAAAGTACCCAAATGAACTCGCACCAGTATTTTGCAAATTTTTCAAGCTGTCTTACAAGAAAGGGGTTTTTCCTTCTTATTGGAAGATTGCTCGCGTTAAGTCTATTCCCGAAAAAGGAAAGTAAAATTCCAGGCCCAGATTACCTATAAAATTTCAATATGGAATGTATTAAATAGTACTTTCTATATGAGTGAAAGAATTATTCCAAACATAGAGTTTCACAGTATTCCAGTAAAATCACATTTTAAATTTTTCATGATATAAGTCACTCTATCCGTTGGGTATATACTCACGTCACTCCTTGTACTTAAGAATTTTTTTCATGGGAAATTAAGATGTTAAAGAGTTCTGGTCCAATCAGTATCAGAGAGAAGTTTGGGATCGAATCATTATTTGATAATGAAATACCTACTTTTTCAAAGCATCTTCATGACTCAACAGATTATATGAATGTGTTTTGTTTTCACTGAAAATGGGGATGGAAGAGTGACTTTATTTTTGGAAAAACTTTGCTGAACTGCTTGATATACATCAGAAGAATCTTACAGTTGTCGAAAGTGATATTTAAATAAAATTCAAATATGAAAAGGAATACAATTTTATTTGAAACACACTAACTTTTTGAATATCTGATGAAATATGTAGTCTTTTGGATAAATATCTCTTTTGGTTTGTATGTATGAGAAATTTCATGCACAATCTACATATCTTTAAAAAATATTTTCATTTTCTCTCCCCCTCTTCAAAAAATATATATTTCTTATATTTTCACGGAGAAGTAGGGATTCAAAAAGGGTAATTTCCAAATACTAATCTTTTCAAAAATACATCCTGTAATCCTCAAAATTGCACTAACCAGCATTATATTGTGGTTCCATACAATTACTTGCAGGTATTACTGAAATTTTGTATCTGAGAAATGAAGTTAGTTTATATCAACAATAACAATTCAGTCGCAATGGTCAACAAATATAAATATTGTGTTTTGTTCAGGAATCCTGTGAATTTCTGCCGATTCAATCTCATAACGAATTATTGGAAAACAAACTGAGTAGAGAAAAGGGTTTTTTGAATAATCAAGTGTTCACATAGAAGTATTTGTTCCGAAAGAACTTTTGCTTCGTGTGATTCAATGATCATATGAAAGAAGCTGTTCCAAAAAGGCTTCTTCTTCCAGTTTGTGTCTGAAAGTTACTTCTTTGCATGATCTACAAATCTATGTATAGAATAACTTCTTTTGAAATTGGTTGCTTCCTTCCTTTCTTCGGGAGATTTCTCACATTTTATTGTATCAAGATGGAGTTTAAAAAGCCAAAAACTTTCTTTCTCGTAAATGAAGAATCTTGAGATTTTTCATATCGGGAGTTACCAATTTTCTTCCATACATTAAATAAGTTTTATGAACTGTTTTCGTTCACAGAGAGCTACCAACATTTCTAATGAATGAGCAAGGTCCTATTGATTCAAATAACATATCTCCATCTGAATACAACATCAAAATACAACCTTTTCAACAAAATTGATGCAGTGCATGTTAGAAATAATCACTTCGTTCATATTTACGACTGATTACTGCTCAATTGATGGCTACAGATTGCTTCAGTAAACTATTTACTTCTTATTTCATCTCTTTCGAACCGTAAGATTTATCGATCTCATTATTTTGCAGTTTGAGAAAAGATACGAACCAATTTATACAAAAATATCCTTCAGAGATGTAACGAGTAGAAAACATTTCTCCTAGTTATTCCAACAACTTCTAACAGACCAAGTCCGAAAACAGATAGAGGCAATATACAAACCAAAAGTTTCCACAACACAATATCCTCGGTTCCTTCTCATGTCTGCTGAACAAGTATAAGGAAACTTCTGGTAAAGTAACGTGCCAGGTGTTGCACGCTCGTCTGAGACTATGTATCCTACAAAAGTTTCTATACTTTTAAGTTTTCTATCCTGCACTTAAAACCTCATGAACATTTCCACTATCTCTATCTAGGTTATTTTCGTGGGAGATCCATAGTAAACTCACTAGATTCATTCTTTTCCATGCGCGGAGAAACTTTAACGTAAGTTATTTTTTTAACGTTAGAATGGAGATCTACTAATAATTATTGAAACGGAGAAGTCTCTTCAGCTATTCAAAATAATATAAGTTCATACAAAATATTTTTCATCGCTTGAGTGTTTAATAATACTGAAAGATCAACGAAAATAATTGCTTCATATCATATGGAATTATTAGCTGAAGTACCTTCATAAACAAACGCACCACCTAAAAATACATAAAATGCACATAACAATATACATCACAAATATAATTTCAGTAAAATGGTCAATAACTGATGTATACTTGAAATGCGATCAAGACATTCTGAAAAACTCTTCCAGTGAATAACAGCAGTGTTTTTGTGATTCATTAAATACTGATGTTATTATTAAAAATATTTTTCATCACGTGGTTAGGATTCTGTGAGTTGAAAAAAAAGAATTTGTTTTTTTCTATATCTTATGAAAATGAGTTCTCTGTTAGAATGTAAATTTAATAAACAAGAGATGTCTAATTTGTCAATTATAATTGATATTTTGTTAAGCCATTATTCTGGAGGCTGACCAGCCATATTCGAGATTATAAACGCATTGATTGATTCTAGAGCAAATATCTGTCTGAAGAGATATGCAATTTTGTCGGTACCAAATCGTTTATCTCACCTGCATGAGATTGAAACACATTGCAATCAACGCCATTCCCATCATAAGATATATGGAACAGAAGACGAAACTCAGTTCTAGAACGTCTTTGGAAAAGTCTGTTCCACGTCCGTATATCTTGTCACCAGGCACCAAGTCTCCAAAACCAATAGTACTCAGTGATATGAAACAGAAGTACGACGCATCCATGAATGACCAATGTTCCTCCCATTTGCAGAAGAGTAGTGCTCCACCACAAATGTACCTAAAGAAAAAACATAGGTTAACGAAAACTCACTGGATGGATCTCCAGGAACTGCATCGAGCGATTGTGGAAAAACTATAATTACAAAAAATCTGAAAATTTGACAATATACCTACTGAAGTCAATGAGGGCGAATCAAATGAATTTCAAATTTAATACCGTATATATCATTACATTTTTCGATCAATAGGCACAGCGTGGTCAAAAAAGAAGAATTTTAATTAAATTTAATAAACCGTGTAAAGTAAATTTTTTCAAAAGGAAATCCCCCATTTTTATGATTTAATCGTATTAAGCTTCAAAAATAAGGGTAACTTAGTATGAGGATACCTATTAGACCGAATCTGACTATGCCGTCTCAAAATTATATCATCATCAGATTTTATATTTTCCCGGGTAACATCTAATATGTCAGCTGCCTCCAAAGATGAGGGAATTCCTTCAATTTTTTCTGAGATGGTAGAGCGAGGTATTATATCAATTGCCTTATCCTTCCATTCCGTTTCGAAAGTCTTATTTGCTTTCAGTTGATTTTTGTGTCTTTTCCATTTTAAACCTCTCTCTACCTCTACAATATAAGTTCTACTTCCAATTTCCTTTAAAATTATTCCTTCACACCGCGGTAAGTTTCTCGGTCTGAAATCACGCACCCAAACCTTTTTCAGTTCACTAAAAATAATATCCTTTTTATTACCATATTACTTTATTTGATAATCCTGTTTTTCAACTGAAGATAGCATTAAATCGAATTTGGTACGCATTTTTCGTACCAATAATAATTTAGAAGGTGTCCTCCCGGTGATAGTGTGTGGAGGAGTATTTCTGTAGAAAAATAAAAAATAATGTAAGATATGATTGATACTTCTTTCGTTATCTTCTTCTTAACCTTTAGTTAGGGTTTTTTTATTATTTTAACTGCTGATTCTGCCAACCCATTTGTAGCAGGGTGATATGGGGCTCCTGTAATATGCTTAATACCTTATTTTTTTCAAAAAAAATTGAAATTCATCCGACAGAAATGATTGAGCATTATCGGTACAGAATTCCCTGGGTAGCCCAAATCTTGCGAAAATACTAGTAGGAATTTCTTGGCACTTGGCAATAAGTGAATGAAAAGGGATAGAAAAAGTGTATTGCTTAAAAAAAGGGGAAATATGGCACAAATATGATAATTGAGTCCGACAAAAAATGAAAGTGTTCTGAATTTCTTCCATCACGTAGAATCATCACAGAAAAAATCGCGAAAATCCGTGAATTCCCAAATGAGGGTTATCGTAACATCTTACACAATTTTGAAATTGAGTGCAATACATTCTACCAACACGATGGGGCGCCTACACAAAATGGCCATTTAGTCAATAGTCAGCTGCAAAATATGTTTCATGATCGGACCACATCTTTGGCCACCCTGCTCCACAGATCTGACTTTACCCAATTTTTCATCTGGGGAACACTCAAAAATATTATTTATAATACTGCAGTAACCACCATGGTAGATTGCATGCGGATGATCAGAATTGTATTTGAAGAACTTAAATTTCAGTTAATATAATATAAGGAAAGCTCTTTTTTTTTTCTAAAATCGGGTTGTAAATGTATCAAGTGCGGTTGAAATATTTTTATTTCATTCTCCGTAAGTGATAAATAAATTTAAATAAACTTCGTTTGTGTGATTGATTCGTCCCGGAATAATTTATTATTGACAGTTAGTTCACAGATGACAAGTAGTAGATTTTATAAAACTGACAGAAAAGAAGAAAAGACAGTTTTGCTGGAGAATGAGCATCAGTGCATATTTTTTTCTTCTGTGGATGCTTTCATTGATATGTAGTTCACAGGAATCTTATGAATATAGTTTTAAATACTCATCAAATATTTGTTTGAAGGAAATAAATGATACATGAACTCAGTAGTTATTATTTTAGGAAAAACCGAATACTGACCACTGTAACCCACACGCGGGGATCAGTGGCAATATAAATAGGACACATAGCTTTCCCAGCTAGAAAAATCAAAAAGAATAATTGAATAACACTTAATCACACATTTAATCACTCTCTCAATATAAAAAAACACATATGATATTTTTTGACCTGATTAGAGCAAGGAAAGAAGAACTCTAACGAAATGAAAATAGAAATAGAAAAACTCAAAATGAATTCAAGTTAAGCAAATGATCACATTATTGTGTGAACAATGTATATGATTAACATCAATGTGAATAAAGTATGTTATATTCACTCTTTCGAGTTGAAAAAAACACTTTATTTCCAAATACAGACTTTCTTTGAACAATAAATAAAACTATAAATTCTAAATTGATACTGGACACGTTCTGAATAGATACTGACAAATTCTAGACAGGTACTGAAAAATAGTTACTGACTCTTATTTGACCTCGCAGGGTCCATTAATAATGTGTAGACAGCAGTGTCAGCAAGAGACGATGGGAAATAACAAGAGTATTGAGTTCTGCTGACTCTGCAGACTCAAA